CACTGTATTAGAGTGGTCGACGGTAAAAAAACAAGATTCGACGCGAGAATTAATAACAAACAAATGGGCTACCTGCGGTGTTTTTTGTGAGCCCCCACAGGTAAGCTCGCGATGATGAAAGAAACTCATATGTGTCTGTCTTATATTTTAAACAATATTGTTCGATTTTGACACGGTTGCACCTTTTTATGGCGAACGTCAGGCTTCCATTCATAGGAAGTAGCGGTACACGGAAAAAAATCACACACCGCGAACGCCGCTACTGGGCGACAGATGGCAGTATGTGCACGCAGACAATTACCTGTAACAAAAAGAAAATAAACATTACACTCTGCAGGTTTTTAACTCTAACATTAAAAATATACAATACGGCAGTTAAATAAACTCAACAACTGAACTCTACCTCCGCAGGTCTCACATTTCTTTACCGCTGTGGCTGATTAAAAAAACAACCAAAGCTGCATTGGAAACAAGAAACCTTCGAATCAAAATCCTTGACAAAAGAGAGGAACTCTTAACGTGATACCATAATGACAAAACAGAAATATGATTTCGATTAAACTGTGCGACGGAGACGGTTTGATTGGAACCTTTTGTGGGTGCAAAAAGGACAGGAAACTAGTTATTAATAATAAAAATATTTTATTTGTATAGTGGGGTAAAACACCCCCGCTGCGGGCTGTTTGGTTGGGACGGCATCCATCATCATTATATTAACCGATTTAACACTTTTGAACAGATTCCTATGAGTTGTCCCGGTCGGGGCGGAGGGAACAAATGTGCAAGTCTCGCCGCCATTGTCACACTTTGTGCGGGATCTCTAATTTATTTGGTGTACAATTACTTACTCCTTATCGAGCGAACAGTATGGAATTGATGAAGCACCTAGTGAGCGTTATCGATTGAAGTCAATCTAGGTCCGTACCGTCCATGTTAGGAATCAGTTTCTGACCTAGCCTATAGAATTCCCTGTTTGGTCACGTCGTGAGGATTATTAATTACAGGAGCCGTGGAAACCGGGTCGAGATATTTTTATCAGATTTCTAATTACGGTGGCTTCAAGTTCATTTAGTGTTGTGTCTTCAAAATTAAATTATTATGGAGGTTTAATTTAAATTAGTAAAGAAACTTGTCTGAAATTAGTCGTACAATTTATTCGCTACTTGAAAGTAACCAAGTTTGTGGATTGGAGCATATAAGGCAACGCTCCAGCATTATTTTATTGCATAATTGAAAACGTTTTTACGTCAATTATTTTGCAGCGTAACATTAATTGACATGTAACATGTTCATGTGATTATAAATATTTACCAGACCCTAAGCAGTTATTTATTTAAATAAAATGTGAAATTATCTATCGATCTATATGGAGGAAATGCAATTAGATGAAATGATGCATGTCGATATTAAAATAGGCATTGATATGCAAAGTCGGGTCGTTACCGATGCGGGCGGTGGCTGCCGGTCCCATGGCTTGTTCACAAATTTTTGTTCGCTAATCAATAAGATTGACCCTAATACCAATTACTATTCAACAGTAACAATAACGCTTGCTTACAATTGACAGACTATTGTTTATTCACTGCCTATTCTATCTAGATGTAGTTCACTGTAGCCGTGTTTCAAATCTAGTTCTTGTTACTCAACTCGTAAAAGTCAATAATGACAAAAAACTTTGATGTCAGTGAACTGACTCACGGCTAACCGAAAGGGCGCGTGCGAGTGTGGTCCGAATGTTACCCAATAATTAGAGGCAGTGATTAAATCTCACGATAAGACTCATTCCGCTAATTACTCCCTAAAGCTAAACACGGTTTTTGCCATCGACATAATTTAATAAGCATATTAACCGTGCCGATGCCATAGATAGGTGCAAAGCCCCGAGCGATTCTCGCTAATACCTTTATAATGTTGTTAATTCAGAATATCTTTAAAGGAAAATACGCCTGACGAAGACTCGGTCTCATCGCGAGGTCAAAGATGAATGACCATGTAAATGCGTAATGAAGAAGACGCTCCTGACTCAAATCACAGTTGTTCACAACTCGTACACATTACAATCAATTTAAAACAGAGTATGTGTACGAGCACTATGACATTGCGTCTGGGCGAGACTCCATCGCGTGTGGCGCGATCAGCGACCGTCTGTCCAACGGTTAATTTAATAAAACGGGAAAGCAGTACGCTTGTTTGATCTGTCGATATTGAACTTCTAAACAAGTCAACACATGCAGTTCATGAATTCTATGCAAATGTTAGTGGTTAGAATGCATGTTTATGTAGATCGGCAATAAAAGTCGTGTCACTGCGACTGTGTGCTGGAGAAGCGATCTGACCTCGCGATGAATGACTCCCATTAGCATCTCATAGGTTTAATTAGGGATCCACGCAATGGCCGGTCGCCCACGTCAACGCGTAGCCGTGTGTGGGCAATCAAATTAGTGACGACCAGACAATGGGACCGAGTGGAGCGTACAACCCCACGACAAAACGTTTCCTCGCAATCTTCGATCACCGGATTAAGGGAGTCTCGTCTCGCACGTTTTATCTCCGATTGTCCGCACTTAACGCACACTTTACACCGAGTGCCCCTCGAGAGGAAATTGAAAGCGATCGCTTTCCCGGCTATCTTATCTGTAGTGTTGTACTAATTAATCGATGTAGCGCGAAGAGGTCGTCGTTAGAGGTAAATAATGCTGGCATTGTGGCCGCCGGCGGTGATTTATCGGTGTGAATAGACAAAAGTGTCGCGGGCGGAGCGGGCCGGTACAATGGCGTGGAATGTCGTCGCGGGCCGCTCGCTCGCCGCGCTCGTGCGACGTGAATGCGGATTATTAATAACCCGCTCTGGTTCGGCACGAAGCGACGGTCGCGATGGTTTGAGCGACTCCCATCGCACTCCTCGCCTGAAGCGCCTCCACCTGTACCCGCTGCACCGTATGACCGGGCCTTCGTTTATTCACGATACTTTTTAATGACCACATTGATGCATGCATTCCGCGTACGATTCGCAACGCTGCTGAGATTTTACTCAGAATAATAATATTAAAGATCGATCACTATTTTGAAAATTCTTAAATTATTATATTCATCAATGCCCCCTGTGTTCTCCCCTACGTTTATCATCCCCACGACCATGGTAACAATGTATAACAATAGAGTCAACGCGGATTATAACAAATTCCCCAAATTGTGTGGGTTCATATTTGCGCTCAACAATAAGACAAAATAGTGATAATGTCACATGTGTGTGTAGTTTACCGCATTTGGAACTAATTGAGAATATTTCATTATGTGGCGATTATAATGAAAGTAACATCTGCCTCATCTGCTTAGTAATCATCAGCTTGACGTACCGAAATCCATCAGTTCACGTTAAGTATTTTCTAATCTGTTCAAAAATCCTCTTTTGGTTTATGTTATGTCGAGTTTTGGGGTAACAATGATCAAATAAGCTCATTATAATATCGTGACTGTAGTAGGAAAACGGCAATAAACAAAAAAGTCGGCCAACGAACTGTCAGACTAATGTAAAATAAAAGGTTGACGCATCGAAAGCTGTAAGTAGCTACTTAATTTAAAATGTCGATAAAAAACAACGAAAGTGGAAAGGGCAAAGTGCTCAAAGGCGTGTTAAAATGAAAATGCACTATGAAATTACTTTTCACGTTTTGTTGATATCGGTGAAACTAAATGAGATCATTTTTTGTGAACCAGCACTGAAGCCCTGCGTTGTTTTGTCACGTAGTACTGCGCCGGCCACCATTATATCGACTCTTGCCCAACACTATTGCTATTGGACTCTACTAAAAGATTACTTACGAGAAAAAATGTATGATGTTAAGTTATTTTGTAATCAGACTAAGTAAGGAGATTTTGATTATATATTCATATTCTATATATACCTATATGTATCGTTTGTATAATGTCATAACTTTATTTAATTTATCACGTAATAAATTAGCAAAAATCATAATGCAGTGCCCATATTGGGTCCAACACCTGACAACGCCTGAATCACAATAAAAAACTTAATTACATTAAGGTTTTAAATGATTTATAATTTTTAATTTATGGTTTATACCAAGTCGTAATTCAGTAGCATTATTAAATACTGTGATTGAACAATATAAATCTAAATTGATTTCACCATAGTTGATTGTGCTAAAGTCGCTATTAAAAAACTTTTGTAGCTAAGAACTGTTTGACACTGGTCCATATTATCGTGTTTTGGTATCGTTTATTTTCTGAGATTTTGAATGTGTTGAACTCACGATTTATTTTTTGCGTCATTTCTAGCGTCCACTAAGTAAGTAGCCATGTCGTGAGTGGCTCGATTCGTTACCGAAACTATAATTAGTTTTACCGTTACTAAACTTAGCTTAGTCTTCGCTTCAGAAACTCCTGTTCCCGCGGGAATGCTTTGAAAATTCCTCTCTCTCTCTATAGTAATTTCTTAGTTAGTATTTTAGAGGAAACTATACTACCATCAGGGAATAATTTAGTTTAGAAGACAGTTATTTCACAAGACGGAGAGGTGACGTGACAAAGTATTGTTTGTTTTTCTGTTCCATGACTGTTATTGTCTAACGATTGTCAATTGTCTTTTGCGTCGACAGACAAACTTGCCTGTTTATCAATCTTAATACAAGATTGCTTTGTTACATATCAATAAATAGTCTTTACTTTAACTTTGGAATTACCAAATGCTGTCATCCATCATTATCTTCACGCACATGTGAGTAAAGAGAGGTACATAGAAGTTTCTCCATTACAAATTTGTATCATTAACACGTTCTATTGCTAATTGCCGGTGTGTTGCAAGTGTTGCGACAAAAACTGTTAGTATCGTGTAACACTTATTAAGTGACGTCGCCTTTTTCTCAAAATTTAATTATCGACATTAGTGTGACACCAAAAGCGGTGCTGGCTGGGTCGCCACATCGACATACACGGCTGATTGTTTGCAAAACTGTTCAACGACAAACTGAAATTCCGTTTCAATTTGTAGAAAGTTGATAATTGTCCAACGAATGACCGAAACTAGAATTGAAATGACAATAGACCGATGTTGTAAGTGATTGATTGGATTCAACATTAATGGCTGCTACGACAATAATAGTGCATGGTATCGCTAAATGGATGACATTATGTCGAAGCGATGCCACGTCAAATATGAAGGATGATCTCCAACATTTGTCCTGCACACGTATTCTAATAGCTGAATTCAATGGCCGCGTCTCGGCCCTTTGAGACCATTCGTTAATAGCCGATGGATAGTCATTTCTGAGTTCATCACTTTGACATATTATTATAAGCAGCATTTTTACAGTCATACACTGGCTGTTACAACCACCATTTTTATTATTAATGAGACTTATAATATTAACAATGTAGTTAAAATCATTGTAATAATGACATGAAAGCCTTGGGAATTGTGTAAACATAATTTGTAATAACTTAAATTTGGAAACATAATACATGTTCACGAATCACTAACAACATTCGTGATATTTAAACAACATGATGAAACCGTTAAACCTAAAAAATAAATTAGCATGAGTATTCAAAGACAAATAATAAAAGCTAATTCACAAGTCAGCAACGACGTAAAGACTATCAAATTATGGCTACAACTATTTGAAAATGTACCACGCGTGACGCTTGCGTTAGCACGCCTCTGACCAATAGGATTGCACTGAAAACCTTGCCTCTTCGTAAGACAGCGCGGAGATACTCGGGCTACTCACTAATTTGCGCTTTATTAAATCACCGTAAGGCTGAAATCTGTTTACGCTTATCAGGTCAGGCGACACAGCTAATAAGTCAAATAGCTTTTACCAGGTGTCCGACAAATGGAAAACTACTAATTAAAGTAGGTACTTGAGCGTCGAGACTTAAATGGAATAATGCACAGACGGTCGTAAGGAGTTTAATTAATCTGGTTGCTGACGCAACGCACGGATCGTTTTCTTTCTATTAGTGTCCGAAAGCAGTTTGTTCAATTGATTCGCTGTGTAGCAATAAACATGAACAGTCTCTGTCATGTTTGTGATAAGAATTTGAAGAGTTAACGTTTCTAAAGATCAAAGAGACGAATGATTAGCGGATCACTTGTAGATATTGTTGTTACATAAGCCCCTACTAATGGTGCTAGGTACATGTAAGAAGTAATTGTGATGTACGTTTTAGCACTTCTTTATATACAAGGACTACAAACACTCGTTAATTGCTATCGCATCTTGCGTCTGCGACGTCACCAACGACATATTCAAACTATTTTGATCACAATAATTTAGGAACAGAGATTTATTGTACCGAAAACTCGTAATTCATATTGTTAGAAGATAATTGCGGTAAATTGTCGTAATAAAATTTGGAAGGTAGCGCCATTAAAATGTGTTCGAATGTGAGACAATGTGCCCCTAATGAACGTTGGGACAAGTAAAATAAATTATTTACGCCACACACTGCGACGACACTGCTACAAATTTGGTTTGACATAAAAGAAGATGTAGAAATCTGGGTAACGACATAAAGTGAATGGACAACAGTAATTACCGTGGGCCGCGGAGACTCCATGGAGTCCGTGGTGCGTATCGTCACATCACTAATTGTCAAATTCGAGGGCACCACGCCACGTTATTTATGTCATGCAGCTCCACTTTTATTCAAGTTTTATTACCACTTTTTGTTAGAAAATGCCTCTCTGTTAAATGACGTTCTTATAATATTCATATCGAACGGAATATCTTCGGATACAGTAGATCTAGTTTTGTAAGGTTCCTATTGTAATAAAGAAGACGATATTTGGAAGACATTAAAATTCCCTGGATCGTATAATTACGTATGACACATTTTAACATTAAGGCACCCACGCATGCTCTATGTTGTGCTTCTAAACTTGTATAATTTGTGTTAAAGCCGTAATATATGGGAGTTTAGAGTCTCGCGCTCGGCGTTCCATGCATTCGATCGTTAATAAAATTATCAAAATCTAAACAGGTTTTATGAGTATCGCTCGTGCGTTCGAAAGAGTTCGTTTCGGTCCGTCTTATGAATGGAAATGGTTTTTGGTATTTTAAGTGTTTATAAAGGTCGTAAATAATTTATCGCCGCGTGATACTTCCGTCGGTCGAATTTAAATGTTTAAATCGATGGACGCGCTAACTCGTACAGCTACCGGATTTTAATTCGCATACACATAATAAATGACTTTTTGATTTATTCTATACTGTTTAATTACACGAGTAATTTAGATCATATTGATTTAATTAATATAATCGTTTTGAGATTGATATCTGAAATATGTGTGAACATGGTTTAAAAATAAAGATTTTAATTAACGTTATGGGTATGATTGAAAATTTGATAGCATTTAGCAATCATTGATACGAAACGGGGCAATAAGAAATCAGTTACAAATTAGAACTGCAGGAAAAAAGTCGTTGTGTTGCTGGTTAAACACGTATACTTTTATGTAAATACCGTATTTCTCTTGCGTCAGTAATCGTGATTCAGCCTAAACCGCTCGGTACTAGGTGACCGGTAATTATTCCGATCACACGTGGACATGGGTTATGGCCGGCCTTAAACGTAACTTTAAACGTTGCGTTTATAGGGTAACGACTAACAACTTGTCTTTATCGATTCACGAAAATAATGGCAAATTGATTGCGGCTAAAGTCGTGCCAACTCATTGGTTAAATAAGGAAGCTTGCACATAGAACAGTGATTATCGATTAAAGTAATCGTTTTGTAAATTCTAATCAGCTTTTGACTCTGTTGACGATGACGTAGTGAATGGTAAGACCTCATTGGGAGACCACACATGTTGCTTGTTAGATGTGGAACATGTGTCCGAGTCTTAAACTCATTATGTATAAAACCTACTAGACATTTACTTCGAAAATGCCATCCCAATTAGAGATAAACAAACAAACTAATGATCTTCATTTAAACAAGCCTTTAATAATTACATAAATATTCATAAAACTTTCGCAACTAATGATTACGTCGAGAGCCCTTGTTATAGTTGGAGAGTACTCGAACGTAGTCCGGGATCTGTTTCGTGTATAACTAATACTCAGTGGTACTTAACTACTGTTTTGCATATTGCACATACAAGTTAATTCAAACATTATTGCTGACTTACATAACTGTGTACGAGGAAAGTTGATTCAGACTTTGAACGCAGATTTCTGAACAGACAAATTAGTGTCGATGTTAGAACAATTTGATTCATTGCTTCTCAATGTTCTCCGTCAGAACAATTAAACAACTGCCTGCTACTATATTTAGCATACTGTCAACGCCTTTAAAGATTAGTTTCTTGCGTAAGTCAAATTTATGTCTTCACTCTAATAAATATTTGGATGTTACGCAACAGTTTTACGTACGTTCTTAAGTGTTTGGTGGCAGAAGTCAATTGGCAATTTTATCGGATTCACTATGCGTAAGATTGTATACGTGGGTGGTATCGTCAATCTCCAAAACTACTGCTCTGGTTTTTATTGGGATTTCCCCATACGGATCTCTTGCTTGTTAATAAATTAATTAAGTTCACAGTTTCTAATGCTATTTTCCTAGAAAGTTTCAGATGACGAATCATTTTAGTCACCACCGAAGCCTAATTATTGCGTTCTCTAAAATTATGACCAGTTCTGCAGTAATCCTATTAGCTTTTGCAACATGGAGTGAATCATATCCTTAATATAATCAAGGCCAGTCTCAGATTGAGTTATGACAAATCATTTGGCTAGTACGCCGCCAATGCCTATGTGTAACAAAGGGCAAATATAATAGCTCTTATTAACTTTGTAGCTTGTTTCAATTCGTGCTGTGCTAAACAAATATTGGGCTACATGAATTGTCAAAAGTTTTTGACGCGAATAGTCACGCAAATACTTGCACTTAAAAACGTCTATGATTAAAATCTAATGAGACGATGACTAAGCAACATTTTGTGTACCTACTACTATTTGACTACACCGTTCCAGTTGGACACCTATTGTAAATTCTCGATAATTGATGGTGTACCCCAAGGAGCCGTTTTGGGTCAAACGTTATCCAAATATATATTTATATTTCATAATGTGGTTGCCATGTAAAATAATATTATTCAACATAATATCTACCGTCAGACGTTTACTATGACCACAATTTGAAAAGCAATTGATACATTCTGTGAAGAAGATGTTTCCTCTTAAATATTTATGGCTACCATATAACATTATTAGATGCATCCAACTGATGCCACCCATATGACGGATACAATAATGGTCACCTTAAAACATGGCATCCCTAAAACGTACAATAAAAAACCAAGAAGTGATATCAGATTGCAGTAACATAAATAATTCGTTTTTGTTGGACATAAAAAAATGTTGTGACACCAAAGCTTCACCTGTAGATAATGTTTTGGGCGTAAAACCGGTAGCGACAACCAAAGGAGGTTATTCATGTATTGGTACAGATACACGATCTAACCTTGGGAATGGCCAAATGGCCACATGTTTAAAACTTATGAATGGATTAATAGTGAATATGAATGGACGTTGGTCAATGCCTAAACGCGAGTGGAAATGAAATTGTATGACGTTATCGAGACGGGTTTAACTGAATTAGTAGGCTCTGTAGTAGACCTGTTTGATTGATGAACCATTTTATGCATTCCTCATTGATTAAATCTGTGCCATGCTTTAAAGCAAAACCATCCCAAAAATAGAAAGCTGTCGACAAACTATTAATTGAAGTGTTAGAATTATTTATAAAAGCAATTAAATTTCCAAATATAAAAACTAATACGGTGTGGTCAATTTGCAAAAAACAATATTCATACTTTTTTACTATAATATACAAGTCGTAAATTAAAGTTTTACTGCATATATTTCTGTCATAAATTGTCATAAATTAATGTTTTTATGACTATTGTTAATATTATTAAGAATCTATGAAGTAGGTGGGCTACCTAGTTCAAAAATTATCAGTACAATTGACATAATCCCAACGCCCACGATTTTTTTACGATTTGATCCCAACTTAAGTATGTTAAGTTATCGACGGTGTCTTTATAATAGCTACTGGAGGAAAGCTATATGATTAGAAATACTGTATACCATATTGTAAATCGAAAAGCAAAGGGTCGAAATTTCTATTAAGATCCTAAAACCATCGCATGGGAAAATATACCCACTATGGATTACTTTAAGAAATGTTTTAGTTCAAAAGGAAAATACAATAGCCGAAACTGTTATAGCTGGATACAACACACACAATTGATAACAAATACAAGTTACAAACAGTCATTACTTAGTAAAAGCAAACAAATGAACGT